ACGGCAACTCATGTAAACAGATAAACTGTCTTGACCTGATAGTCTTTTCTTGTTCAGATGACCCCTCACAAAGAAAGATAAGCAGTCCTGACCTTGTTTCTTAGGGATGTAAATCAGGACAGCACCTGGTGGACAATCAGAGTGATAAAGGATAGTTTACATATGGCTGTTAACACTCAAGGGGATAGAAATTAGTTTACATACAGAAAGGAAGAACCTTATTCAGCATCAGAGAAAGGGGTCTTGGGCAAGGGGAGGAGTATGAATCAAGGTAACTGACTTTGATTGGATCAGAGGATCATGACATCTTAAACATAGGTCTGAATGTAACGAAAGGTATATAATATGCTGTATGGTGGGCAAACCCCATTTCATTCTAGCACTGAAGATGTTACCTAGCCGGATAACAAAACATTTGCAAGAAAACAACCAAGCTCAGAGAACCCCAAGGACTCCACAGTTCAACCCTAAACTACACATATTCTCTTCTATTAAATCCATATTAAATACTGAATTTCTTTTTGAGTAGTCACACATCCCTTAATTACGGTTACTTTTAATTAGCTGTGTATCAACATAGTCAATTAGTTTCTGCTAGGACCTTCATTCTGGCTGTTCCATGACACTGATTACCAACCTGCAGTTATTCTATATAAAAAGCATAACTTCATGCCTAAAGGTGGAACCCAGAAAAATTTGAGCCATGTTTCAAAAAATAGTAGCCCTTGGTTTTCAACTTCTGTGTGCTATGATGAACACAAGAAAGATGCCAAAAGCATATTTAAAGGGCAAGTAAGTGTGATAAGGCTAGTGCCACAATCAGTTTGTTGATTTTAGAATACAGTAGGGTGAGCAACTCAGGGTCCACAGGCTGTTGCCAGTTCCCAGGTCCCTGTTTCTGCAACTCCCAAACACTCAAAAGTTACATTGCCAAATTTCATAAACGAACCATTGAGAAAGAAAGCATGACTTCATGTCACTTTTGGTGGGGAATAAGAATGCGTAAGTTTGTATTATATATAATAATCCCCAAATACAAAACACACACACACACACACACAAAATGTACAAAATTAAACGAAAGTCCAGATTCACCTGAGTTACTGTCATATCTGTGCCATCTCCCTGGCCAACATGACCTCTGGACATCACCCTATTTTTAAATGTCCCTTGCTTTAAATTATAGGTGAAGTTACTGACTAAAACACAAAGAAATCTGAAAAGGTTACATACTGTTCTTGCACATTCATGGGCCAAACACACAGAAGCTATTTATACAGATAGCCTATAAGTATTTTGAATGGTTATCTACAAATTTTCCTTCTCTCTCCTCACAAATACAGTATTAGCTCCTCTAGATGGCACACTTGGGTGGGTTGATATTAGCACC